TTTGAAACCATAATTTAACAAACACATAAATTGAATAGGGTATTAAAACTAGAAGGACCTTGTGAACTGATGACAAGCTCCCACGTATAAAATAATATTAATCTCGTTTATACTGAGTGTTAAGAATAAAAATAATAATAAAAGTAACATACAATAATAATAACGGATAAAGTTAAAGTGGTTGCTGTGGAACATTTGTCTCCTTCTGGTTAGTGATTGGAACTAGGGACAGTGAAACATTACTTAAAACTGGGATTTACTAAGTTGAATGTGTGAGTATCAATGTTGGTGAAACTAAAAGGAATTTAACATACAGATTAAAGGAACATAAAATTAGGTAAGAAATAATAAAATAGAAAACAGGACTTTTGTCTCCTGGTTGGTGATTGGAACTAGGGACAGTGAAACATTACTTAAAACTGGGATTTACTAAGTTGAATGTGTGATTATCAATGTTGGTGAAACTAAAAGGAATTTAACATACAGATTAAAGGAACATAAAATTAGGTAAGAAATAATAAAATAGAAAACAGGACTTTTGCAGAACACGTAAAAACAACACAAAATTTTATGGGAAAGAACTACGATTTTAGCTCAACATCGTAACATTACAGCTTTAAATGTCGGAGAATCACTAAAAATAATAAAGTTTAAAAAAGAAGTATTAAACAGAGATGAAGGACCATCAAGTCAAAGCATTGATATTTGGCTGGATGTAATATAAAAGTTGACTAAGGAATTATGTAAGTACAAAAGGAAATGTAATATAACGTGGCAGGAATAAAAAAATGTATAAATTAGTATGTCTTGCAGTTAACTTCTAAAGACATGTCGAAACATGTACATGTAGAGTGTGTCTTTAAAGTAGAAGTCGTTGACGGCTTCAATAAAGTTTTTATAAATATGATACTTTGGTTTTAAATTTATTAAGTTTTACCTTACTTATAACCACGTTAGCTTTGAGTAATCCTATAATATATTTTTCTGTACGCTGGGGACGAACAGAGATAAGTGAGCATATTTAGTACTTAAATTTTTTACTAATTTATTATTTTTCCAAGGTTTTTCCTTTGGGGGGCGACTTTAGTGTTTTCCAAAGAAAATGTTAGAAAATGGAATTTTTATACAAATTTTTTTCCGATTGTTAGGAATATAGTCACAAATATATTTTTTTTATCATTGGAATATTAAACCAAACGTATAGCCATCTTGTAGCCATGCGCGAAGTTCAACAATACAAATATATGTAACTTGTTCAAAAAGCAGGAGGCGCCCTCTGTGGAAAATTTTGTAAGACTGTTAATTGAGGTAATTCATTGTAAAAATAACCAAGGCTTAGCATTTGTCTTATGCTGACTATATCGACCCTTTTAAAACTAAACACTAAAAGTTTGATGTACATATATGTATAGACTCTAGGGTATGATACTTTGTAAACTGTGAAGTTTTCGGTTGATTTAGAAGAGCATTATAGAATAATTTCATGATTCAGTATTATTTCTTGACAGTTTTATGTATAGAAAAAATAATACAACGTAATTAAAATCCAAATTACATGCAAGCTACCGTTATAATGTAGAAAATGAAGTGAGCCAATCACGAACATAAGTGTATTATGGTAATTTTTAGAACAATATGTGATATATAAACTTTTATACCCTGCTCTGTAACGTGGTTATAAATATAATGAAAGCAGATACTTAATAAATAAATGCTAATAAAATAGTGTTAAGTACATACTGTTCTTTGATATTTTTTCAGTACATTTTGAAAGTTTTTAACTCATTTTTATTCCTTTTAATTAAGAACATTCGATCAACCTGTTAGTGACAATACTATTACCATCACGTAGAGATAAGTTTCATCAAAAAGTCGTAGCTTCTCAAAATTTTTTTAACAAAACTGATGTACGAAAAAGCAAATCTTAAATTTGCGAGACATTTTAATCAAGCTTTAAAACAATTAATTTAGTGGGTATGTGTCAAATACTTTACAATACACATTTAATTCTACAATTATTGATGGTGGTCCATATCATATTTTTTAAATGCATTTCTTCAAAACTCTGTATGCATCAATTTGTTTGTGAGTCTATGATTTTGTTGGTTACATAAGAGTCACATAAAAAACTTAAAATAAAAATACCATCCTTATTGCAGTCATTCATACTAATTACTGATGGAGTTTCCTTTATATCACGAATTTATATATGAAAAATGGAAAATAATTATTTTCTCCGACATAAACTTATATCCTCAAATTTTGCTCCATTTAATTATTACATCGAATTGGTGAACGTAAGTTATAATTATTAGTATAAAAAATATAAAAGCAGTTTAACCACAGTTATATTTTACGCTTTAATTGACAATAAAAATAGTAATTTATTGATCAATACGATATCCTACCCGTGTGTATTATTTTACACTTAAAACATTAACAAATAATTTATTTGGAAGCATTTTTGGTGCATATGCGCTATGTTTTGTAAAGAAAAAGAAAATTTAATTTTATACGAAATTGCAGTTTCAGTTTTATTTTTCTAAAACAATAATATCACAATTAATTATACTACAATTTTTATTTTTGGAAATTATTTTTATTTCAGTGAACGAAAGAATAATGAAGCCCTAGTGATAAATATCGGTTCGCGTTTTGGCGGGTTTATGAATAACACGAAGTTAGGAGGCGTAGGCCAATTTACTTTGATCTAGGTTATTGAAATTATGTTTAAAGTTCATTAAAATAGGATTGATAATACTTCACAATAAAATAATATTTTCTAAACGAAAGAACGTAATTTAACGCCTAAGCAAGATCCTTTACGATGGATTGACTAATAGTTTAAAATATGTAAAGTATTTTTGAAAGTGTCATTGTTTGTTACTTAACTTGCTGATTTATTAATTAATGCTTAAACTTTAAATTTAGGTGGCACTGTAGTATTAATAACGCCATTGAAAGTTTAACTAGTGAAAAATAAATTTGAGAGGTTTCTGAAATACTAGAAAATAAGTATTCTTAAGATACTAATATACTATGGAACTTTTGCCACAATGTCTGTTGACTGTTGTAAATTTTATTAATCCTTTAATTTAACGCTTGATTAATTCGCAATGTAGACTGAGTTTAATTCGAATTTGAACTTATTGTATGTAATGTCCCATTGTTTTACTTTTTTTTTCAAATATTTGTTGGTAGCACAAACAGAAAAAAGAAATGGAATATTACTTTAAGCCTGTGGGGAATACAGGTGAAATTCCTGAAGGTCTGCACACATCTGGTACAGTAACTCAGGTAGCAATAATTTAACTGTATAAATGTAGTACAAGTTATAAACTGTGCTGTTACTGTTAGCAACAATGTTGGGATACTCTTAAATTTCTTAACTTAAGAGAAAGGTTTAATTCTTTTATTAAATTGAAATATTAGAAAAAGAAGAGATTTAATAAACCCAATTGGGTTATTTCTCCCACAAGTTTTACATTCTTAAGCTTCAACTTATAGTTTCATAACAACATTCCTCATCATAATGAATCTTTTAAAGTCACCTGATACTGTATTATTGAAACTTTGAATAGATTATGTGAGTGATTATTATTGTTTCATTAAATAATAATCATTTGAGACATAAATTAACCAAATAGGAAAATGCATGTATTTAAGCATTCAAAGCTTGAAACTTTGACCTTTTAAACTTAAGTTGCTATTTAGATAATTTAGCAAAACCAAAAAAATCGTTTCACCTTTCTAGTATATGAATTCACATATAAATCTTGCACATCTAGTATTATAAAATAGTTTCCCTAACAGTAAGTTTATGTGAGAACCTTGAAATAAACTTTTGTTATCTTTGTAATTAAATGTTGTAAATTTAGTTCAGTTTAAGTTTGATAAAACTTTAGCTATAAAGAATGAGGTTTTGATTTTGTATCATTTATAAGAAATATTTGTTTGAAATATTCTTTCTCGTATACTTTGAAAAAGGAACTTTTTGAAGAAAAATTAAACATTTTTGCTGTTGTAAAGAATTAAATACTCCCCCCAAAAGAAACAAAATCAATTCTAAAGTATTCTAGGTTCCTAGTTATTAAAAGGAAATATTCTATCATTATTTTTCTTCTTAGAAGTATATTTGGAGAAAAGCAAAGACAGTTGTATGAAAAATCTTGGTGAAAGTTCACTCTATGTGTCAGAAAATATATCTGAATAATTAAAAGCAAACAAATTTTCTTTTAGAGATGACTCAAAATCCAGTTATTGAACTTCTAATATTGAAAAATGCTCTGCCCTTAATTAATTGTAAAGTTAAAATTTTAGATAACTTTGTTCCAGGTTGTATTGTGTTTTGAATATTTAATTTCTAAGGTTAATGATATATATTCTTTCTCCTGGTCAGTTCATATGTCTCTCAAAACCACCAATAATTTTGAAGTTTGTACTACCACTGGATGTTTCAAACTTGTCATAAAGTAATTTCTCTAAGAGAAACTTTTATTCCTGTATCTTTAAAATAGGTGAATACGTGGCTGATGGAAGTTTTTAACGGAGATCAAGTCCCACTATACGAGCTCTCAGAAACCACCATTAGCTACCTTGAAACACTAATGAACACTTGTCGTGAAAGAAACCAAAACATGAGACTCCTACTTGAAAATATGAGACACTTTAAAACTGAGTATATTGGAGAAAGTAAGTTATATATACTTGTGATTATTTATTTCTGTATTTTGAGTGTTTTTTTCAGATGTTTTATTGTCTATTTTTATAACATTATTATTTTTTTGATAACTTGTTACTGGGGTGAATTTTAAACTGGAACAGCTTTATAATTTTTAGGAAAACATGTGAGTGACATACTGTATCAGTGTGGAATATCGGTTGAAAACCTTCCCCAAAGCACCCAGTTATGTGTCCAAGCTTTGGCTGCAACTGGAGTAGTTCTAGATGTAAAAATACCATCTCTTACTTGGTAGGTACATGTATAATTTTATGTACAACTTTTTGAGTTGATCTTGAGGAAGAAGTTGTTGTGATCTAACATTGAGTAAACTAAGTTGTATAAAATCTGATCTCTACGTTATAAATCCAGCTGGCATTCGTCAATGTACTGTTACCAGCAGAAAAAAACTGTACTGCTAGAATTTATAAAAAAGAAAAAGTGACTGTTATACAAAACTTAGTTATTTTTTACCCTCAGCCTGCTGTATGGGTTGGCAACTGCACAGAAAGACGTAGCAAAGACCATAGAGGACTGCAGTGGTGAGGAACGAAACTCGAGGATTCGAGAAATCAAGTACAAAAATGCATGGGAAAAAACTCAGCAGTTAAAAAGGTTTTATAGTATTTTATTTATTTAAAATGTAATTCTTTTAATATTACTAATACTTTGCAAATGTAGTAATGATTTTGTTTTGTCTAGAACTGTTTCTCAAAACATTATATTAGTACATGTAATAATTTTGTTTTGTCTAGAATTGTTTATAAAAACATTATATTAGTACATGTAATAATTTTGTTTTGTCTAGAATTGTTTATAAAAACATTATATTAACACAAATAATAATTTTGTTT